AAGTTCGCGTGCGCTGGTTGTTTTTGCTGTTTCGAAGCATCTTTATACAAGAGGTCATAAGACAGACGAAAGATTCAGTTTGAAGTCGTCCCACTGAATTCTCTGTTGTGTATTCTATACAAATTGCCAGCCGGGGTTAAAGTTTGTTCCTTTTTGTATACGTCTTTTGTTTTGCTTTGGTAAAATATATGCCAAATCATTTCGCTACTTCTAAACCTATATGCACTGCAAATGCATGGACAAACTTTTCGCAGTTGTCTTTTCTACTGAACTTTGAGTTCACACAAACCATGACAAAAATTCTCGTCAGGAACTGATGAAAACTAAATAATTAAATCAGTTAAATGAAAAGCTAGCTAAGCCTGTAGACATTATTCAATTTTGTTCCTACTAAACATTCAAGTTTACTGTTCAGGTTCCAAGAACTGCCCTGTATTAATAACAAGGCAACCTGTGTAAATAAGACCTTCTATTTTTACTACTTATAAAGTGTCTTGGCATTGATTATTTGTAATCAGCAACGACTCGCTTCGCCCGAATACACTCTTTTTTTAAATAAATTTTGTACTGAGAACATGGATTGCATAATTCTCCGACTTTCACCGGCTGTATCCTTTGATAATTTATAATCAATTAAAGTAGTAAAATTTTTCCTGTTCGTATATGCCCGCCCATTACAAGAGATAAAAGACAACGAAATTTCGGAGGCAAAAATTGAGGAATTGAATTGAAATCGATCGACGAGCTCTAGAGCTTTGTAATCTTTTTTAATGATTGACGAGGAGAGTTTCTCCAATTAGAAATTATCACTGGCTGTTTTTTACAAACAGCTGGCGCGAATGTGAGGGGTCGCATTAGGGAAACCATTCGTCCGGTAAAAACATCCGACATTCTAGGCACTGGGCGGAAACTTTGGACAAAAAGGTTCAATTTTCAAATTTTGGCCTTTTAAACATGTCAAATTAATATCTCTTGTTAATATACCTTGACTTAATGCATCTTGATTTGTTTTTGTCTTTTTGCCAAATCTTACTATTGTTGTAGTGAATGTTGCTTTCATCGCAAAATGAGTTTGGCACCACAAATGTGCTGTGAAACAATGATGGGAAGGTACCTTTAAAACGAATATTGTTTTAAAATTAATTTTAGTCTTAGATTCATGTTAATGGACAGTTAAAAAATAATGATAAAATAAAGGATTAATTCAGCAACCTGAATTATATGGAAAGGCAACTTGAGGAGCTTGGAAACCCTGTTGTGTTGAGTTTTATATAGCCGATTTTCTGCTCAAATTCCAAGTTTGGTTTTTACAGACTCGTCATCATTATCAGTATTAAGCTTAAGGTTACCACTGCTCATATCATAAGAATGATTACTTTTTTGTTGTTGTAAGCTGTTTGTTTCAATCCAACAACAACAACAATAACCTTTATTTGCATGACTATAATTATTTACAGTATTGCAAAAGGTACGTAAGATAAGAACGAAAAGACAAAGAAATAATTATGATATCAATAACAGCTAATCAAGTGACATTATTCTTACATGGCAGTACACTGTCGCGCAAATTATTCAATAATGAAATATAATTCGTCAATCGTTAATTAAGATAAATATCTTCGGAGTTCATCGCTCGGTTTAATCACCAGGTCCGAGTAAGATAGCTGCTGAAAATTACGGAGATGACTTCGTATTTAAGCAAAAAATTAATTTCTAAGTTTTGAATACTTTGGGCAATAGCAGAGAAAGTGAATTTCATCTTCAATTTCATTGGGATGACAAACAGGGCATAATCCTTTGTCTTGAGGAGTTTGGTTATATATTCCAGTCTCGATCATAAGTTTATGATTGCTTACGCGTAATTTTACCAAATCTTTTGTATCGATTGTTTTTCTAGTAAGGTTTAGATAACTTGAAATTTCATAACAATGTTTAAATGTATTATAAAACTCTATTTCCTTGTATATTAACTAAATACCGCCACTGAGTTATAATATTATACTTTTGTTTCAGTATATCTTTAAATCTTGATATTTTGCTCTTATCTAAGTAAATTGCTGGGAACAAAATCCGGTAGGTCATAAGACTTGGATAATTCCATAATATTACTATAAAAACTAGTATTGCCATTAAAATGAAGATTTATTGAACTAATACAAGTAATGCTTGTTTGACAATAGAGTCTTCATCCTTCTCAAAAAGATACATAATGTAGTTAAGAATTTTTTCATTGATCTCAACTATTAATGGAAATCTACCTAATTCACCTCTACATGCCCCGTTAGAAGCCTTATATTATTATAACCTACTTCGAACCAAGTATCGGTTGCAGAAGAACCAGTTGCGTCGGGAGAAACGACGGCGGCAAAAGTTTTCAAAAACTGACGAGAGAGCCCCTGGGATGCTACTCTAAAAGAACCAGTTCCATGACTTATTCGAATGCTTGTCTGTAATTGGGCACCAAAAATAGTTTTGTAACCAATAAGAGGCCAGCATCTATCACGCTGCTTTCGTGATCTTCTTATACGAAGAGTTTTACCCGCAACCTCGACTTTTCGCCGTACATGTTTGGCTTGTGCAGGAGAGCTTTTTCCGAGAAGAGTTTTCAGCGCAAATGGGGCCCACAAAACCACAGAAATTCTATAAGTGGTGGATTTTCCGTATAAACTCATATATTTATTATGCATTCAGCAATTTCATACTCATTTCACACAAATAGATGATAGATCGAGTGAAAACATACATACGTAATAAATGTAAGGGGTTACACGGAAATCTTAACCCATAGTTTAGCACGTCAACCTCCGAATAACCTTGGCATCTTTTAAGTCGAAAATCAATAAGCGCCGCGGGGCTCTTTCAAAAAATACAATGTTTTACTGTATTCAATCGAAAGGGCGCTTACCTCGAGAGTAAGAGTCACACATGAGAAGAAGAAAAATAAAAAAAAACCTTCCGTACTCTTTTGAATAAGAATATTTTCTCCTGCATTCAACGAGGGTCTGAATAGGGGTACCTCTATAACACTAAACACTTAATTTTTTGTTGGTTTCCCCTCTGGGTGTCACGATTTTCCCCGGTCCTCGAAAACCATAATTTCTAAATTCCAATTCATGGGAAATAAAACCAGTTCAGGTGTTTTGTAAGTTTATCGTCAAAATGATTTGCTGGTACCTTTATTGATACTTTGTTGGGTCTACAGGTTTCAGACCGTTTTGTCTTGTTTCAGATTTCCCTTATCATATTAGAGCTTCAGATTGTTTTCCAGTCAAATAGACTACAAATCATCAATTTCTAAATCACTTCATTGGTTAGAGCTCGAGAAAGCTGTCACGTGATATGCCATATATCTTTTATAAGCAGACTATAATAACGTTTCACGTTTTAATTCATATCATTGTTAATTTCTGCCACACATGATTACTGTTTAAGGTATTCCTGTAAAACTCTTGATCTGACAATCGTCTATAGATATACCACTTGAAGACTGCAAGACGAAACTGAATCATCAACTTGATACCGCCGATATCGTTCATGAAATGTCGTCTACCTATCAGGAATTTGGAGTATCTGAAACCGTAGTCAAAACAGCGCAGGGCATTCTTACCATTGCAAACATCATGGGAAACTTTCTGGTGTGCGTCATTATAGTAAAGAAAAAGGATATGAGGTAAGGCGGCAAACACGTTCAGTATGCAACTAAACAATAATAATTCGTTCCGAGGTACAAAATATGCCCTCCAGTTTATCATGATATCGCGCTTTCAACAAATTTAAAAGAAGGACTGGAGAGGGAAGGAAATGCCAAACTTTGTTTAGGGGGAAGATATTGCCTATAACGAAAACAAGCTGAATAAAATCACCCGTCTTTGATTTACAGTACTCCTGGGAAAAACTGTACCATAAAGTGCACGCCATATATAAAATTTGCTATGACTCTACCTCGTTAGCTACACCATAAATGATTTTGCAGTAGGGTGTAAAAGATATAAAGCCTCGCCCTTTCAGGATACGTTTATTGAGCTGCCTCGTACCCAGACGTCTCTCTCTCTCGATGAAAATTTGCGCGCAAAGGAAGGCGGGAAGGAGACACCTGCCGTCTATACCCTTCCCATGGTCCCTTGCGGTTCATCACCAGTCACTCGCGTTTCGCGCTCGCCTCTACGATGAGAAAAACGAAGCGCCTGAGGAGGAGGCTGTTTATTGAGGGTATCTCTTTGGCGAAAAAGAAGTAAGAAAACTATAATTTATTTCTATCTCAGCATGCTACGCTTTTAAAATCGTATGGGAATTAAATTTAAATTAGGGCGCTCTTAGCTTCAACGAGATTTCGATCTTAGATTTCACGACTGAACTACAATTAGTATAGGTAATAGCATGATTTGTAGTGATATTTGGCATAAATACCACGAGTGGTATTTCGAAATTGTTATCACTAATTTCACGAGCCGTTAGGCGTTAGGCGAGTGATTAGAACGTTTCTGGGCTTAGAAATTGAAACAAATGAAAACGTTAGTGCAAAAAAGGATTGTCCCTTCTTTATTTTAACATGTTACGGTAACTTATCCCCAGCAAAAATCACTCAGTGCTTAAATGAAATGTACCTGCAACATAAATAATAAAATTCCAGCAGGTGCAACTTACAGTAGCAATTAACTTTGAGATTACAATTATGTAACAGTAATCAAACAGTCAGTTTCATGTTCATGCCCAGGGACTCCGGTACTCCAGTCCATTGTAACGGTTTAGTGTTGTTTAAAACGGGCAACAAAAAACCTGTAATTAGTTTTGCAACACTGCTGCAAAACGAGTTGAATGGTGATGTTGCACGTTTTATCACCCACCTTCGAACCTGTCTTGCATGCAACAAATCAGGTTGTAAGGTCTTTTTACGTAGGTGGTAAAACACGCAACATCGCTATTGAACTTGTTTGAAGCAAAGTGGCAAAACAAGTTGCACGTTTTTTGTTGCTTGTTTCTTCCGTACCTTAAGTCAAAATATGCACTGTGCATCCCACAGGACGCCAGTCAACTTTCTTCTCATGAATCTTGCCATTGCTGACATGGCTGTAGCAACGTTCTTTGCACCAAGGTATCTCTTCATCCACTCTATAACTCACCCAGAGGGAACAGCTGGATTACTTTTATGCAAACTATTGACGAGCGGAAACCTCGCCTGGGTTGGAGCTGCCTCTTCGGTTGTCACCTTGGTTAGCACCGCTTTTGAGCGCTATTATGCAGTGCTACATCCTCTTGGAACCAAGGGAAACCTTACCGAGAACAAAGTCAAGGTGAACTCTCATCCTTGTTTTTCTAAGTTCATTATTACCAAAATGATGTCCTTTGAGAAGGAGTCGATCATTACTGTGATGAAGACTCAACAAAGCTTTATACGGGGAGGCACCGCCCGACGTCCATCCCGTCCTTTACTTTTTATATGCCATTTTGGCAGACGGAAAAGGCACTCCTTTCGTGTACCTTCTAGTGACAAATGGTACCCCTTCCACATACCTGGTTTAGAGCCTCTGCACCCCTAGCTTTTAAATACTGCTAAATGCACTGTCTCAAAAAGTTTTCACGACCTTCTCAAAGCCATAAAATGCATCTCTTGGTCCTTTTGGCCCTTTTTTCAGACCAGAGTGACAGAATTCTATACTTTTGCTAGTGAGCTCTCTACCTTTTCATATGCCTGAAGCCTGATTAACTGAGGTACCCCTTTCGGTCAGAACCTCCCCGTATGAGTCATTACTGGGAGGACCTCCCCCCGGGTGAGGAACACGTTTTTATTTCCTTAAGAATGTATACCAGTATCTGACCAAACCTTCAAGAAGATGCCATTCATGGGTTTGTCTTACTAGTTTGTTTATCAGTTCGGGCCTTGGACGAACGATCATCCAAGATATACTATTGCTGGCCTTTTCCTCCGAGCTTTGCAACGTTCTGAGAGACACCGGTATCTATAAACTATATATCTATGAACAAAATTCGTGTTTGGTTTTGCTGAACTTGTCAACCTTTAGGGGAATGTAACTCATAATTTATAATGATCAGCTTATTGCCCGCCTCAAAATTTTAGCTGGGTAGAAAACAGCACCAATCGTCTTCCTTGTGTTATTTCAGGTGATAATTCCCTGTTCTTGGATCTTTGGAGTTGTAATCAATATCGTGGGGATCCTGTGTGATAACGTAAACGAAGAGAAAGCCTGTGCTCACATATGTCCCGAAGAATGGATGAACCGAGTGTATAGTTCAACTTGGTTTCTGTTCGTAGCATTTTTCCCAGTCTGTTTGATGGCTACCCTTTACGCCCGAGTCGTGTACGCTTTATGGTTTAAAAGCGAGAATTCTACTGAAAACAGTGTCAGACAACAGGTTTGGAAACATGGTCATATTGTCCTGTTTTCATGTGTTTAGCGCTTTAGATTCTAAGCTTACTCGTGGTTGTCCTCGTCTTAAGACGAGGACAACCACGAGTTCCCGCCAGCTTTTCTCAGTACTATTAAGTAGTGCGCGCGCTTGAACCAGGGTCATTTTGGCGGGAAAAGGTGATAGCCTTCATCATTGTACTACGGGTTTTAGCGAAAAATGATGTAGTGACGGAAACAAGTTATCAAAATGCTAGAAGTTTTAAAAGTTTGCGATCTGGAGAGGGATTTACTTCCTCAATAAACATAGCCGTGAAACTATTCTGGTGAAATTAGCCTCTTAGAATAAGGCGCCAATAATTATCAGCCCGTAGCTTCTAATAAGCTCCCATCTACTATAAAGAAAACGAGCACTGTATGACGCTTACGTCTTACAAATAACTTTTATTAGACGATGTCGAGACAATGACAATTCTGACCATTTGTCTCTCTTTTGCAGGGTGTCATGAAGATAAGAAAGCGAGTGACCTTAATGGTTTTAATTGTCAGTGTGGTATTTGCTGTTTGCTGGCTTACAGACGCCTCTAACTTTATTCTGTCCGATTTTTCTGTCGTACGCTTTTCCCTTCCAGTGGCGCTAACCAACACATTGATTTTGTTCAATTCCGCTATCAATCCGATTGTGTATGCTTTGGTCAACCAGCGATTCAGAAGGAAGTTCAAAAGTATGATCTGCTGTTTTAGTCGTCGAACAAGAAATATAGTAAATCCAACATTTCCATTAACCAATCCCACTCAGACGGCACTCTCACGTGACTGATTAAAACGTAGGTCCCTTTAAAAAATGAGAAGGGAACAGGGCCGTGTGAACTGGTTTGGCAAAGGCTTCTGGAACTGTTACTGAAGAGATGGAAAAAAATTGGCCAATAGCTGACCGACACGTCCCCTGTAAACGATTCCGTCAACCATCAAGAAACTGAATCTGAATTACGGGATACATTTCGACTCTAGTTCCTATCTCGGTTCGAAAATGGCAAATGCTATTAATTACGGTACGAAACACTTCGGACAAGATTGGGACTAGTAATTGCATTTCAAAAAAAAAAAATAATAATAATAATAATAGGATAGAAAGAAAAAAAAACTAAATAAAGTAAGTCAAAATAAAGTATAGGTAAAAAATAAAAAAAGCCGCGATGCAGGTATTCTTGGTTTGCAGCGTGACAAGGCGCCTATGTTGTTTATCAATATGGCGAAACCTCGATATAACAAAGTTCTCGGTACAAGGAACAATTTTCGTTACCTCAGATATAATAAGATATATGAAAAAGAACCTCGATATAACGAAATCTCGTTACAGCGAACGAATCCTAACAATACGATCACCTCTGTATTACGGCCAATTCTTTTGGCCCGGCAAAACGGTCATACATTTTCGAGTTTCCTTTTAAAAAACTTTTGTTAATGAAGTCAGCCATTAAAAGGCCAAAGGCCACATTTTTCAATCCCAAGCAGTAGATTCTTTTAAAATTTCACCCCGTACATAAAGCCTCTCATTGGAAATTTAGAAGATTGAAATGCCTGCGACAAGCCGCAATTTCACTAGCAAGCTAAAGGCTGTTCCTGCATTGCCTTTAGACTTCACTAAAATGTATTTTTGGTGGTTTAATGGCCCATATTTTTACTATAAGTGTTTTATTTACTTAAGAGAAGTTACAAGTAGTTTTTGCAATTACTGTAGCGGTATCTATATTCCGGTTTGGCTAATTCTTTGTTAGAGAAAATAGTTGTTCAGGAAGTGCGAATGCAGACGCACGGCAATGCAGGGTGTATGATGCATTTGTCATTCCATGCAGCCGTGTATCATCACCTTAAGTCAAGAACTTACACTGCCGCGGTAATACGGCCACGCTGTTTATACCGTCAAACTTTTTTGACCATTAGTGACCTTAGGCGCTTTCCGTTCAACAAAAATTCCGGTTTGAAATTTCGGAAATTTTACGTGCCCAACGGAACGGTACATTCTGGTTGGGCGCGCTGGTTTGAGCAGCTCTCTTTTGCTCGAAAATCTGTAAGCAAGAGGATTTTAGCAGCGAGGTCGCGCGAGTCGTGAGGGCGCAAGTTCGCAACACGCGCGATACTATCGCTTAAAGATTTCGAGCAAACGAGAGACTGCTCGCAGTCTAATCGTTCTTGAAAGAGGGATATAAAATAGCGGTAGTGGGGACAACAATTATGTCAAATGGAAAGGGACATTTCGGGTCCGACTGTCCGAAATGACCAGACCGGTCAAAGTGGACCGTCATCAAAGCTGGTCCCGAATATTCCGGTCGGACCAAACCGAAATTTGTCCGTTCCTTTTGATGTAGCATACGAATTTTCCGGAATTTTGTGTTGAATGGAAAGCGCCCTTAATCAATGGAGTTCCACTGAAACATGTTATTTCCTGAACATTAAAGAAATCGAGGAGGGGGACCAATTTTAAGTAATGATATTTTTCGGGAACAGTTAATTAAACGAGTATTCGATTCACGAGAACGAAGATTGTAAATAAGCAACTACCAAAAAGCAAAAAACAAAAAGAAAAGACCGTCAGGTTGTTTCCTCAGACAAGAACCTTTGCTCTGCTTTGTCTCCTCTCACCCAGGGCTGAGTTGCTCGCTAAAAGCAAGGTTAGCTTTAACCATTGGTTAAGCGGTATCAAAACCATTACGTTGTCAAGGTATTAAACGCTGGTTAACGCTAACCATGCTTCGAGCAACTGGGCCCAGGTCTACATATATATTGATCCAAAGGTAAAATACAACGATATATAGCGTTTGCAGACCTCAGTAATTTATTTCCCATACGTACAAGGCCTCAACTGTCGACTACCGTATGCTACATTAGGGCCATTTATACGAGGAAAAATAAGACGCGTCTTACATAAGACGCGTCTTAAATAAGACGCGTCTTAAATAAGACGCAAACTTTCCGTATAAACGGCACATTTCGTCTAAAATAAGACGCGGCTTAGCTAAGACGCGTCTTATTAGATAAGACATGCTCGTATAAATGGTACAGTTCGCGTCTTATTTTTCCTCGTATAACTCATTTTATCACAGGCCTCCCAAGCTCCCGAAAGTTGAGATCACGTGACTTTCCTACCCCCGTTTTCGACTGGGGCTAGTTTCTTTCTGGAAGAAGGAAACAATATGGCGGAACGTAGCGAAAAAGGAAGTTTCCGTCAGCTTTCTGAGTCCTCTGCAGGCTAGGCTGCCGAGCGGGGAGCCTCATGGTTACGGAAATATAAACGGTAGAACTCTACACTTATGAGAAAAAAGACTTGATTATCTTTTGTTGGGGCAAAATCGCTGAAGGACAGCCTGGATTAGGGGAAACGGAAGACGAGCCAGTCTTGACACCGCGAAATGTCGATGTCAGTTTTGGCTCGCTATCAGAGGTTAAAGACATTGCATGTGGCTGGGAGCACACAGCTGTTTTAAAAAACGACGGTTTTGTTTACACCTGTGGTAACAGAGAAAATGGACAACTTGGACATCACAGAGAAGGAAATAAATTAGGTCAGTATACAATGTAATTTCTAGAAGTACGTTGTTTACAGTGTAGGGGACGTTTCAGTGTTTAATTAGAATATTTACAGCGCAGTGAGAAATTTTGATTTTTTGAAGTATTGCGAAATTAGCTTAAGTGATAATTTGAACAACAAATAACTAGAAATTAGTGTACACTGTTACCTAACAGAAAAACGCACGATAGTTTTAATACATTGATCAAATATTTTTACGGATAGGTACTTGCAGAAATTGGTTATGACGATTAGAATGGTCAGTAAATTTTTACTAAACGTACGTGCAGGATATTAAACGCTTAACCCTTCAGTTCAACAAGTCCCAACAGTGATAAGTATCAGTTTTCTTAAAATTCATAACATTTTTAGTCAAAAGAACAAATTATATTCGAGAATTAGCAAAGTATCAACCAGGGGAAAATGTTTTGATCTTTTATCAAATTCTCTTAATTAATTCATTAAAAGAAAAATGTATGGACATCGGTTTGGAGAATACCGTAAAATTCCGAAAATAAGCCCTGGGGCTTATATTTTCCAAAGGCCCTTTTTGAGGGGCTTGTTTTTGGAGGGGCTTATCTACGGAGGCAAATTTGCGTTTCAAAGTCGATTGGGCTAGCCTTATAGTTGGAAGTAAACTTACCGTTTTTGCTTTGTTTTACTTTGTATTTAAGGGCAATTTTCCAAGTACAAGCCCCCGAGGGGCTTATATTTGGAGGGGCGATTTAACGGAGGGGTTTTTGCGTTACCGGTTTAGGGGGCTTATATTTGGAGGGGCTTATTTTCGGAATTTTACGGTATGTGTGTGGATTTTAGGTCCTGAGGGAAACATTAAGTTTTGTTTCCTGACTCTAACTACAATGTTAAAAACATTATTTTGGGGGAAACAAACTTGACTAGTTTGTAGCTAGGGACCAGTAATTAAGTGATTTGTTTTGTAAGTTGTAAATAGGCAGTCTAGCCTTTAAATGCAAGTCCTGCTATAATCTGAGATCCAACTTGGGTATTTTATTACAGCCAACTAAAGGTAAGATGCTAGAAAAACTCGGAAAGCATGCATTTCAGGCGGCAGCACCACATTTATGGAATGAGCTGCCTTTACAACTTCTAAATATAAATTCTCTGGGAATTTTAAGAACTGAACCAGAACATTTCTTTTTATACAATTTTTTTGAGAAGTGAATTTTAATTTTCAATATATCATTATGTGATTTTAATACTAGTTATGAGTTGTTATATTATTAGGCATGTGTTTATTTTTTATTATCAGCTTTACGGTTGACTATTTTCACATTTCATAGATATTTGAACAATAATATTGTAAAGTACCATTGATCTTTATAAGTAAATAGCAAATTGTTATTATTTTTGTTTATATATCATTCTCTAGTGTTTTTTTTCACACTTGTTTATTGAACACCAGTTTATCATTTAATTTTGTTCTACAGCTCGGGTTGATTCCCTTGAGACTTGGACCATTAAACAAGTAGCCTGTGGGCAGATGCACACTTTAGCTGTCACTAACAAGGACTTGTCTTTGCTTGGGGTGACAACACCAAAGGACAGCTTGGTCTTGGAAGTTCAGATACCGCCTCTCATAAACATCCAAGGTGTGTTGTGAATCATTTTTTTTGTTCATGCATTTGCTTGTAGTTTTTCAGGACCCTTGCTTCCTTTTGAACCTTAGCAAAGCAATTAAAATATTTTGAGGGGGTGGGGAGTGTGTGTAGTTGGGTTTGCGAGGTATGTTGTGGAACTCATGGTATACTTTTGAAAGAATCTTCCCTGCCCTGCCCTAACCTGCCAGGCAGTTACTTTTTTGTTAACAATTCAGGGCTCGAAATTGCGACTGATACGGTCGCCAATGCGACTGACATTTTCTCCTTGGCGACTAAAAATTCTGGTTTAGTCGCCAAAGTGGCGACCAGATTTCTCTACGCTTTAGATTTGAATTAAAAGAGTAAAGTTAAAACAAACATTTCATATTATTTTGCTTTGCTTTCATCATAGAAAATGTGCCAAATCGCATAAACAAGGCCAGTTTACCTCCAAATGTATACCGACTTCTATCCATGATATTTTCAAATGTGATGGATCACGCCATAATATTCAGGGCTTCTGATAGGTCGCGGAAAAAAGTCAAATTTCGCGAGATTTTTTGGGACAAATTCGCGAAAAAATCGGCCAATTTCACGGGAATTTTGGGGGAAAACTTCGCCAAAAAGCATGCGCAATCGGTAAAAAACGGTCGA